ATGTGACAGAGCAGTCCTCCTGGGTCCCCTTACCCTACTGCTCTCCACCTGGGTGCCCTTTCCCAATAAAATTTCTTGCTTTGCCAGCACATGTGTCTCCTCGGACAATCCATTTCCAAGTGTTAGACAAGAGCCCAGTTTTGAGCCCTGGAAGGGGTCCCCCTTCCTGCAACAGTTACGCAGCCAGCTTTCACATTCCAAGGAATCAGCCAGAAATAGAGAGAGAGAGAGACGGGGACCCAAGCTCTGATGGAGCAAAGGTGTTTTAATCAACACGGTGTGGGCATATATACTGTCTTACAAAGTAGTTATTCTCAGCAAAGATAAAGATTAAAATTCCAGACTTACAAAACATAAGGTGATCCATATTAAAGAGAGAGAGTTGTAAACAATCACTTTTACTGTATGGTTCATAAGAAGGAAGAGGGTACTTATCACCGCATTGAAAAACTAACAAAGGAAATGCCTGGATTCCTCAGTCCGGGAGAGGCTTGCCTCGCCTCTCAATTCTTGAATATTCAGTAAATAATAAGGAACAGAGGATTCATGACAGATCCAAAGCAGCACACAGAAAGCCTCCAGTTAAACGCTTCCTGACAATATAGTATCTGCACATAATCCATGACCATTGTCCAGTACACTAAATCCCCTGCAGATCACGCATAAAGCCTGTTACTAAGTAAATTTTATGTAAAATAGCTGCTGGTGCACAGCACAACCATGTTAGTACTGTCACTTCCCTAAGGCTGCTAAGTATTCACCATGATTGTCAAAAAATCATAGCTGAGAATCAAATAATTTCAAAAGCAAAAGTATAAAAATCTATTCAGTTATTTATACTATAGCAATAAATAAATAAACAGTTTAATGAAGTTGGTGCGTTTTAGTCAGGTTGATATGATGTGGCTTGGAGCCTCCAAAAATAAAACTACCTAGAGTGAACAAAGAATGGCTCCACTCCTATAAACCAAAATATCTTGTTAGATGTAGAGTTCTGAGTCAGTCAGTTCCATTTTATTCCATTCCACTCATGTCCTCTGAAGTCAATGATGTGGTGAAGGAACAGGGACACACGCATTATTTGAAAGGAACTCATTTTCTCTATAAGTGTTAGAATTGGTTAAAAAGGCAAAAAGCCATTTCCATTCTTAAGAGAAAGTTCTGGACTTAAAGAACACCAAGTATTTACCCTCAGAACTAAAGAGAAACAATAGGAAAAACCTTGGATTTAGGACTATTTTTCTCAAAAACCAATAGAGGATAGGCAGGAAAAGTGAGAAATACTGAGGGCAGGGAAGCCTTTTAAAAATTATCACATAAAAGTACATTGTAAACACGCTTACTCAGCATCACATTAACTTTTTAAACTCACCTAAACACATAAGGGGGCTTCCCTGGTTGCTCAGAGATAAAGCACCCTCTTGCCAATGTAGGAGACACAGGTTCAATCCCTAGGTAGCAAGATCCCCAGGAGTAGGAAATGGCAACCCACTCCAGTATTCTCTCCTGGGAAATCCCATGGACAGAGGAGCCTGACAGGCTTCAATTGATGGAGTCACAAAGAGTTGGACAAGATTTAGCAACTAAACAACTACAACAGAACACTTTTATTCTCTTAAAGATCATTTCACAGATCATTGTTTCTTTAAGTGATTCCCTAACTAGATTTTCACTGACCTAGAAATAGTGTAGAATTAAAATAATATAGCACGCTTTAAAAAAAAAAAAACCTAGAGAAGCCATTTACCAATTCATTTTTGTTGGCATATTCACTTGCATGCTAATCCAGGCCAATGTATATAATCTACATAATTACTGAAAACTGAAACTGGAACAAACGACTTTTCAACAAATGAGAATTTGGCGAGCAAGACAAGAACATAAAGAAATAATTTTTTACAGTCATATAAAAGATAAGCTCTTTTTATAAGACTGTCCCAGTACACATTACATGTACGGCTTCTGAACTGATTCTCCCCCTTGTATATAAAAATGCCTTTAATTCCCAAGGATTAAAATAGACTAATCCTGAGAGTTGAACTATCAAGAAAGCCGAGTGCTGAAGAATTGATGCTTTTACACTGTGGTGTTGGAGAAGACTCTTTGAGAGTCTCTTGGACTGCAAGGAGATCCAACCAGTCCATCCTAAAGGAAATCAGTCCTGAATATTCATTGGAAGGTCTGATGCTGAAGCTGAAACTCCAATACTTTGGCCACCTGATGCGAAGAACTGACTCATTTGAAAAGACCCTGATGCCGGGAAAGACTGAAGGCAGGAGGAGAAAGGGACGACAGAGGATGAGATGGTTGGAGGTCATCACCGACTCAATAGACAGGAGTTTGCGTAAACTCCGGGAGTTGGTGATGGACAGGGAGGCCTGGTGTGCTACAGTCCATGGGGTCACAAAGAGTTGGACACAACTAAGTGAATGAACTGAACTGAGGATAGACTATTTATTGACTTTCCAAGAAGAATGGTAAAAATATTACTTCGCTAAACATAAGCTGAATCAACTGCCTAATTTATTATAGTTACTGAGTTTCATAGGGAAAAGGGAGGCCAAATTTGAGATGGCTGATGGAGAAGAGATGGAAGGAGACTAAGGCAAGGAAGAGAAAAAGTCTGACAGGTGTTAGCCTGTTAAGAGGCTTGAAAACAAATTTCTCCTGGCTAGCTACAAGCAGCAGTTTACTAGGACAAGAGAAAGAGAATATGATCCACATGGTCAATTTCCTGATATCGCTGAAGAACACCGGAATGGTCAGACCTCATACTTTTTAATCCCCACCAGCTCCATGTGGAGTCACTATAAAATCTTGAAAACAGATCAGTCACCACAATTCCAGGCTAACTTCTGCTGCCTGGTAAACTATGCAGGTAACAGAAGTCAGTCTATAAATCAGGGGGAAGTCAACATTAAACATAAGTATTCAAAGAACATAGGGAGTGGAGGCTAACCAGTGGAAATGTCTATAAATTAAATTTATATATAAATGTTGCAGGACTTTTTTTTAATTACTCTTTAAAGTCACATATGTGTAGAAATATTTAAATGACAAATATAAAAGTTAAAAGTGGTTATCAGTCTTAGTGTCAATTTTAGTTACCATTCTTAAGACTGGCATTAAAAGTCATCAAAAATAAAAATTTCTGTTGATATGTTTGTGATTTCTTTCAACAAAATCCAAAGAGGTGGGGGTGGGGAGTCAGAAGAAACAAGTGTGGTCATGAACTGATTACTGCATCTGGCTGATGCCTATGTGGGGCTTATGAGAGTTCATCACACTATTGCAATTTGCATATGCTTGACATCTTCCATAATGAAACACAAAAACATTTTCCTAATGCTTAACAACCTCCCCAAATGATCTCAACCTCATTCAAGAATTTTTTAGAAGTATGAAAGGATGATATTCAAGAAAAACCAGTGCTTCAGAATTCTCTACACAGAAAAATAAGGATTAAGAACATGTAATCAAAATGCTAAAACAGAAAATATTAATTAATATTACTTAAACCAATGGTTCAACAATTTGCAAAGTGTTAGGTAGCTAGTAAAAAACCATTAGGAGTCCAACGAGTCAACAAGGAAAAATGTTTAATTCATTTAGTGAAATAAGCAAAACAGAAATTTAATTATGTTTTAATTCCAACTACATGAACTATACACAGGCACATAAACTAGTTAGAAAGGAATACAACTATGGGCTTTGGTGGAAGAATTATAAATGAGTACTTCTAAAAACTTATTATAAAGCTGCTTAATGAAAGATTTTTTTTTAAGACACATGGTCACACTGGCTCCCTGAACACTGTGTGCAAACACGCACGCACACACACCCCCCATCTCCAGAGCACACCGGGAAGACTGTCTGCAGGCACCAGAGCCGCCGGCAGCACCGAGCAAGGGCCGCGCCGCTGTGGCTGTGCGGGATACAGGCAAGGACATTTCAGTACACAACAGAGCTGCTTGCATAAGCCCATCACTTGCGATGCACTAGCACCAGCATACATATCATATAAATAATAGGCAAACACTGTTTCAATTCGTTAAAAACTCATGGAAACCAATAAAATAATACAGTATAAAGAAAAGCTCGTCAGTACTCTGGTATAGGATACATCAGAAAGCCGTTGTGCCCACAAACTAAGAAAAAAACTGGCAAAGATTAAAGATGACAGCAGTTACCTTTCTCATTTTAATGACACTTCTATACAACTAGTGTTTTTGGTTTTAGTTTGTTTTTAATTTTGAACGGCATTTTTTACCCATGTTCCTAATGATGCTTGAAATTAACATGGCCTTTTCAATTCCTTCTTTGTGCGCCAGCATGAAACAGTTTGGATCTAGCAAATATCACCAAGGTAGAAGCAGGACAATATTACAGAGGACCATTTCTTTCTTAAGCCTTGAAGCACTGTTTACATATTTTCGGGACTGATAGAAATGTAGCTGGCTCATTGCTCCCACTTCTCTGCCTAAAGTGGGTCCTAAATGGCCCACCAGTCACTGAAATACACTCATTTAAGTCACAGAAGCAGGCAGGGGTTGTGCAGAGCTATTTCATCTTCTTTGGGATAAAAACAATGTTAAAGAGGAAAAACAGGGAAGACAGGGGACTGCTTTCATCCAGAAAGGTAAATTCATAAAGAATATGGTCTACAACGCAACACATACACACAGAGAAAAGCTTCTTACTGTATCTTCCTTCCCAGAAAAGAAATAAGAAATCTGAAGTCCAAGAAACATTTGGTCTTGAATCTATTTACACTACCTGACTGAAAAGAGACAACATCTAGCTCACACGATTAAAGTGAATAGAAGCAAAACTACTCTAAGACACTAGAATACTCAAATTATTACTAGTGATACTAAATAAACAATAAAAGAAAACAGACAAGAGAGTTCTGAGGACGGGTAACTACAAACTTACTAGTATTCACTTAACTGTCAAGACAGAGTTCAAGTCCAATTGTCTTGTTATTTCTTTGTACTTACCATGACAGGAGGCCCAGATTAGGAGAGATCTCCGTCCCTTCTTCAGTATCTTGGCAAGCCTTTTCTTTCCTTTATGCCTGGAACTTGGCAGGGGGGAAAGGACAAAATTGGTAATTTTCCCATGTGCGTGCTAAGTTGCTTCACTCATGTCTGACTCTGTGCAATCCTACGGACTATAGCCCACCAGGCTCCTCTGTCCATGGGATTCTCCAGGCAAGAATACTGGAGTGGGTTGCCATGCCTTCCTCCAGGGGATGGTCCCAACCCAGAGATCGAGCCAGCGTCTTGTGCATCTCCTCCACTGGTGGGGGTTCTTTGCCACTAGCGCTACCTGGGAAGCCCAATTTCCCATTTGGCCATACCGTAATTAAAGGAACTGCATATACAAGGACCTAAAGACTTGACCAGAGTCAGCCAAGAAAAAGCTGAGAATCACCCAGTCAATCCACTAGTCAAATCCAAACTCCTTTAAAGGTTTGTGAAAATCATCCTGACTGTAACTTATTTGAGCAAAAAAAGTTGCGATAGCTCATGTTCCTAAAGTTGACAGTAATATGAGAACTATTATAAACCTTAGATGAAAATAATAAAGCAATAATTAAAACCAACCTGCAAATGCAGATACAGTATAACAATATAATTCTTACAATATTATATAGCATGTTTTTGTAAATTCCGTAAATTCAAAATGGATCTCCCCATCGGTGGGAAGCAAACTGATTTAGTAAACAAAACATGGAAGAAAAAAGCATTTTACCCCAATATCCTACGCTCAGTGAAAACCCAAACTGTGCTAATACCTTTACCTGGTTTTCAGAAACAATTATAATAGTGGGTGAGGAATACCTAACAAGAAACTCAGGCTAGTAAGAACACTATCACTTTAATAAGTAGCTTTCTAAAAAAATACATATATATAAAATAGATACATTACAATGCAAAGCCAGCATTTCTAGTTCACTAAACTTCTACGAATACAGCATATTTTTGGAAGTCTGGGATTCAATATCCAAAGCAAATGCTTTATCATCAATGAAAGTGAGGGAACAGAGGCCATCAGAGAAGTAGCAGGGCCCAGAGCCTTATGCAGTTGTGATAGGAAGTATGGTATGAGGTGACGTAAAGGATGGTTCTGGCTGTAGGGTGGGAACAGACTAGATTGAAATTGCACTCATCTCACACACTAGTATAGTAATGCCCAAAATTCTCCAAGCCAGTCTTCAGCAGTATGTGAACCGTGAACTTCCAGATGTTCAAGCTGGTTTTAAAAAAGGCAGAAACAGATCAAATTGCCAAAATCCACTGGATCATCGAAAAAGCAACAGAGTTCCAGAAAAACATCTATTTCTGCTTTATTGACTACACCAAAGCCTTCGACTGTGTGGATCACAATAAACTGTGGAAAATTCTGAAAGAGATGGGAATACCAGATCACCTGACCTGCCTCTTGAGAAACCTGTATGCAGGTCAGGAAGCAACAGTTAGAACTGGACATGGAACAACAGGCTGGTTCCAAATAGGAAAAGGAGTACATCAAGGCTGTATATTGTCACCCTGCTTATTTAACTTATATGCAGAGTACATCATGAGAAACGCTGGGCTGGAGGAAGCACAAGCTGGAATCAAGATTGCCGGGAGAAATAGCAATAACCTCAGATATGCAGATGACACCACCCTTATGGCAGAAAGTAAAGAACTACAAAAGAGTCTCTAGATGAAAGTGAAAGTGGGGAGTGAAAAACCTGGTTTAAAGCTCAACATTCAGAAAACTAAGATCATGGCATCCTGTACCATCACTTCATGGGAAATAGATGGGCAAACAGGGGAAACAGTGTTAGACTTTATTTTGGGGGGCTCCAAAATCACTGCAGATTGTGATCAGCCATGAAATTTAAGACGCTTAGTCCTTGGAAGGAAAGTTATGACCAACCTAGACAGCACATTAAAAAGCAGAGACATTACTTTGTCAACAAAGGTCTGTCTAGTCAAGGCTATGGTTCTTCCAGTAGTCATGTATGGATGTGAGAGCTGGACTATAAAGAAAGCTGAGCACCGAAGAATTGATGCTTTTGAACTGTGGTGTTGGAGAAGACTCTTGAGAGTCCCTTGGACTGCAAGGAGATCCAACCAGTCCATCCTAAAGGAAATCAGTCCTGAGTGTTCATTGGAAGGACTGATGTCGAAGCTGAAATTCCAATACTTTGGCCACCTGATGCGAAGAGGTGACTTACTGGAAAAGACCCTGATACTGGGAAAGACTGAGGGCAGGAGGAGAAGGGGATAACAGAGGATGAGATGGCTGGATGGCATCACCGACTCAATGGACATGAGTTTGGGCAAACTCCAGGAGTTGGTGATGGACAGGGAGGCCTGGCGTGCTGGGGTTCATGGGGTAGCAAAGAGTCAGACATGAACTGAACTGAATTGAAGTCTAGAAACAAAGCCTTGATTTTCACACAGATTTAACAATTTAAGAAAACTCAAAATAAGAATCAAGTTTCAATTTAAAAGAACATCATGTTTAAAACTATTTTAAACAAAAGATTAAGGCTACAACTCATTTAATCTCAACTTGAATACAAGTTTCTAGGCACAGTATTTTATACTATGGCACAATTACATATGGGGAAAATAATCTGGCTTGAGTCCTGATGGTGGGGAGAGACCACCAAATTTTAAGATTTAACATTAAAGTGAACATACAAGAGTTCACCTAAATGTCCACCAACAGGACCCCCAAATTAATCTGTCAATTGTCTTCTGCAGCCTCAAAACAGCAGAATGTAGTAAGGGGTGAAGGGTAGGGGGAACAACTTACCAAATGAGGTTTGTCTGAAGAACTTTTTCTATCTGAAGGTTTCACAAGAAAATCTGCAGAAGAAAAACCAGTAGTTTAACAATGACAAATATCCTAAGTATCAAGTTAAGCCACTTAGATCTTCCCACAAGACTTTTCTCTGCAAGTTGTTATGCCATGACAATACATTATTTTTTAAATTGCTACAATGTGAACTACTTAGTCAACCACGTTTTAGAATGTTTAATTGTGCAAAACGGGCCAATTCAGGCCTTAGCAGGCCTTTAGAAACTGCAGAACTATACAGACAGAACTTTCCAAGAACCTACAAATACTCCTCTTTAAGAGTTTTGCTCTGTCAATCTAGCATCATTTCTGATGGCTTCTCAGGTAAACCTTTGCCACTAAAGGAACAAGTACTTTCAAAAATTAAGAAAATCACAGGAGATCTAGACACGGACTTGGGAGTTGAAGGTTATTGGTACACATTATTGGCTTCTACCAAAGGATCTTTTGTGTGCGAGAAAAAAAGATCAGGAGAGGAAAGTGTAGTCTAAACACAACTCCTGTCACAAAGAGGCAACAATCTGACCCTTACAGAGATAAAAGACCTCGTCAATCTACTATTTAATCATTAAGTCATGTCCAACTCTAGCTACCCTATGGACTGTAGCCCCCCAGGCCCCTCTGTCCATGGGATTTCCCAGGCCAACAATACTGGAGTGGGTGGCCATTTCCTCCTCCAGGGGAATCTTCCAATCTAGGAATCAAACCCAGGTCTTTCCGCACTGCAGGTGGATTTCCTTTGTAAAGACTTCTCTCGGTATTTGCAGACAACGTATCCTTTCGAGGTGTTTATGTGACATAAAGTCACATATATGAACAAGACTGCACAAAATATCAAAGTCTTAAAATCAAGGAGTCAGTCAACATTTTGCATTATTCCTATAACCTCTGAAAACATTTTTATACAAGAACCATGTAAGAGGAGGCTAAATATGTAATTATAAAATGTTCTAACCATTTTACAAGAAGAATTTTTGTCTCCCAGTAACTTTTAAATTTTATAACTCAGGCTGGGCCACATTAACAACACGCTCTACATGAAAAAAGGCTATTCATAATTTGCAACTTGAGATACAAATCGTATTAGTATCAATATTGGTTCTGCTGTTTAATGAGGTACAACACAGTAGAGCAGGAAAGTTTAAAGGTTTTAAATCTGCAGGAACTTTTCTTGCTAAAACATAATTTTTGCTTAGTATTTGAAGATTGAAATACAAATTACAATTATTTTCATTCATTTTTCCTTTATACTACAGTAAGGTTATTATTGATTTTTTAAAATTATGTCTGTAGGTACACTGTATCATCTATGAACTTTATTTAGGATAATAAGAAAACATTTGTCAAAAAGAATGGATGCTGGGTCTCTTTGTCCTTAGCTGTTAAAAAACCACCAGATAATATACCAGTATATGATGGCACATTCCACGTAAGAACTAAATGCAAGAAATGATGAGACATTTCATTGTACACCTTGCAGTACTCTGATGCTTCCTGGTAACTCCAGTGACACGCAAGTGCTCAGCGTTCAGAGAAAGAGACAATCAGGGCGGCATCACAGGAGGTGGGGAACGACTGAGTCTTATAGATTAGGTGGAGTCAAAATAAAAAGAAAGAGGGGGAGGTAAGCCAAGTGAGGATGGATACTAATACCACAGTGGGAAGAAAACACATTTTCGAGCAACAGAGAGTAGGTTAGAATACCAATCATTTTCAGGGAAATGAGACTAAAAAGACAGCACACACTGTGGGCCTTGAATGCCAGGCTAAGGAGTCTAGATTTCACTCGATGGCATAAAACCAAAAGCTTCAAGAACAGGAGATTAGTAACACCAAAGTGGTCTTATGAGGATAGTTTGGAGGGGAAAAGTCACTTACAATGTTTCCGCACTAGTAGTTCAGATATGAACTGCTAAGGGCCCAATATCTTAATGATAGTAAAAAAGCAGAGGCACCAACAAAGTGAGTGGAAAACTTTAATTGCTTAAGCTTGGTAATTAAGTAGGAATGAGAAAAGGAGGTAGAGCAAGTTGGCAGAGATAACTGCAAAATTCTAAGCCCTGTGGTGAGTAGGAAAAGTATGGTTTTGTTAAGAACTGAAGGGCAGCTTCCAAGGAAGCAACACCAGATAGGATATATT